TCGTCGTCGTCGTCGTCGTCGTCGTCGTCGTCGTCGTCGTCGTCGTCGTCGTCGTCGTCGCCGTCGCCGCCGCCGCGCCGCCGGCCGCCGCCGCTACCGTCGTCGTCGTCGTCGTCGTCGTCGTCGCGTCGTCGTCGTCGCCGTCGTCGTCGTCGTCGTCGTCGTCGTCGGTGTCGGCGTCGCCGTCGTCGTCGTCGTCGTCGTTGCCGTCGCCGTCCGCCGCCGTCCGCCGCCGTGTTCGTCGTCGTCGTCGTCGTCGTCGTCGTTCGTCGGTGTCGTCCGTCGTTGTCGTCGTTGTCGTCGTCGTCGTTGCCGCCGTCGTCGTTGCCGCCACCGTCCGCCGCCGTCCGCCGCTGCCGCCGCCGTCGTCGCCGCCGCCGCCGTCGTCGTCGTCGTCGTCGTCGTCGTCGTCGTCGTCGTCGTCGTCGTCGTCGGTGTCGGTGTCGGCGTCGCCGTCGTCGTCGTCGTCGCCGCTGCCGTCCGCCGCCGTCCGTCTTCGCCGTCTCGTCGTCGTCGTCGTCGTCGTCGTCGTCGGCGGCGGCGGCGGCGTCGTCGTCGTCGTCGTCGGCGGCATCGTTGTCGTCGGCGTCGTCATCGATTGCGTCGCCACCCATCCGCCCGGGCCGCAGGGGGCCCGCCGATTACGGGCCCGACGGCGAGCTGCCACCCCACCTGCTTCGCCGGGGGGGAAAGGACCAGAACCCACAGTAGGAGAGGAGGAGCGGTCCAGGGCCTCGTTGATTGGGGACTCCTCTTCCACCTCCTCCTCTTCCTCCTCCTCCTCCTCCTCCTCCGTCTCCTCCTCCTCCTCCTCCTCCTCCTCCTCCTCCTCCTCCGTCTCCTCCTCCTCTTCCTCCTCCTCCTCCTCCGCCTCCGCCTCCTCCTCGCCTCGTTTTGAGGGTTTGGGGCCTTTTTGCCGGTTCCCCGCGGCTTTCCAGCCTCAGGGCGCTCCCTGGCAGCTGCGCCTCGCTGGGAGCGTTCCAGGAGTGCCCAGGTCCATCCCGAGCGGCAGCAGGACAGCCGAGTCATGACCCGAAGGCAGAGAGGCGGCGTTCGAGGAGGATACGGTCAGAGGGGACGCAGCGGCCCCCAATCGCCCACTGCACTGCTCGACGATAGGGGCCCGACAGCCCAACCCACCTGGGACCGTGCAAGTGCCGCTGCGTGGGGCCGGTCGCGGATCTATCCGCGTCGTGTCGCCGATTCCAGGTCGACGTTCCCCCCCTGAGCTGGTCCCACCCTCGGGAGGGGGCAGGTGGGGTGGAGTGGTGAAGGGATGGAGAGGACAGCTGAGGACGGGTGCGGATGAGGAGGAGCGGGGTGCCGAGGAGGAGGAGGAGGAGGAGGAGGAGGAGGAGGAGGAGGAGGAGGAGGGAGGAGGAACATGAGCAGGAGCAGGAGGAGGAGGAGGAATCGCGAGAGCAGGAACAGGATCAGGAGCAGGAGCAGAAGGAGCAGGAGCAGAAGGAGGAGGAGGAGGAGGAGGAGGAGGAGGAGGAGGAGGAGGAGGAGGAGGAGGAGAAGGAGGGGCAGCAGCAAGAGGAGGATGTGGGAGGGGGGAGGACGGTACAGGCAGGACAGCGGAGGAGGGCGGTAAGGATGGCGGCGGGAGAGGGGGCGAGCGGGACGAGGGACGAAGGCGATGCACCAGGAGCCAGAGCAGCATCGCAGGAGTTCAGAGAAGGGGGGGTCGACAGAGCCCCCAATTCGCGAGTTGTGCCCTGCGGTTCGCGGCAGAGCGCTGTTGCCGCAGCGTGTTACCGGCCTGCGCCCGCCGGGTTGTGCTCGGTCTGTTCCCGCGTGTTTTCACGGGAGGGTGACGAAGGGAGGATGGGCAGGAAGCGCTTCAGCAATGGCATGTTTAGAGGCAGATTGCCGTTACCGGCCAAAGTTTCAAAGGGCCGCGTACAGAGCAGCTGCGCTATGCAGTGTTGTGGCGCCGCCCGGGATGCGCTGCGGCACCCGTCGTTGCCCTTCGCCTTACAACGGACCAGCCGAATGAACGGCGGCGCTGGACACAACGCAAACATGCAAAAACAAATCACGGGACGGTGGTTTGCTAAATGGGGTTTTGCCCCCCCCCCCCCCCCCCCGATGCGTGGGGTGCGCCATGGAAGCGCGGTTGGCGTGGGGGCGGGTGAATGCAGGCGCTGAACGTCAGTGCGCCCATTGTGCATGAGCCAGGCGGCGGAATTTTGTACGGGTGGCCGTGGTAGTGCCACGGAGAGAACGAGCATCGAGAAGAGAAACGGCAAGGACAGAACATGTCGAGTGTCCGCGCATGTCCGCGCGGATCTCTTGGATCTACAATGAGCCTCTAATACACTTGTTTATGTGCTTCGCCCTCGTTCTCTAGCTCTCTTTCTCCTCATCGTCGTCGCTCACTTGTTAGGCGCATTTCCCCGCCCCCTCCTTAATCCCCGACTTCTCCACCGCATGTTTTCCCACCTCCTCCGCCCGCCCTGTGCAAGGGTGATTAAAAGCAAGGAGGTGTAGAGTCAACCCGCATAGTAAGGATGAGCAACTGTCTAAAGGTACTATTGCATCCTTCCCCTTCGGCCCGTCCTTGGCCACTTTCGCTGGCCGCGCCCCGCTCGCAAAGTATCGACATGTATCGACATGGCCTTCCAAGGCCCTCGCATCCTCACCGTTCATCCTTATTATGCAGGTTGACTCTAGGTGTTCTGGCAGCGTTCGTGTAATGAACTCCGATGCCATAAGGTGCCAGGTGGTGGTGAAGGAAGAGGAGGCAGTGATGGGATGGCGCAATGCAGGAGGGGAAGCACGACGACGACGTCGCGAAGGGGGGCAGGGATGAGGCTGAGGGAGGGAAGCGGGACGCGGACGAGGAGGAAGCGGATGAGGGACGAGGAGGAGGAAGGACGAGGACGATGAGGAGGGCGATGTTCAATTGCATCAGGTGCAGCAGCAGATAGAGGAGGACGAGGCGGACCACGAGAAGGAGGGTGAGGAGCAAGAGAGGGCAACACCAGGGGGGTAATACGGGCGAGAGTGGCAAGTGTGCGCAGGATTCTGAAGATGATGATCATACCGCATAGACCACCCTTCGGGTGATAAGGAGGTGAGGGGGGGGGGGGGGAGGGACCACCGTCGCACTCGATCGATATCACTATCGATCTCATTATCGATCTCATTATTGATCTCACAGTCGATATGGCTATCAATCTCACAACCGATCTCACAATCGATCTCACTATCGATCTCACATTCGGTCTCACTATCGATCTCACTATCGACATCACAACCGATCTCACAATTGATCGCACGTTCGGTCCCACTATCGATCTCACTATCGATATCACTATCGATCACATTCGATCGATCTCACAATCGATCTCACTATCGATCTCACAATCGATCTCACATTCGGTCTCAGTATCGATCTTACTATCGATATCACAATCGATCTCACAATCGATCTGACTATCGATCTCACTATCGAACTCACTATCGAAGTCATTATCGATCTCTCGTTCGGTCTCACTATCGATCTCACTATCGATATCACAATCAATCTCACAATCGATCTCACATTCGGTCTCACTATCGATCTCACTATCGACCTCATTATCGATCTCATTATCGATCTCACAATCGGTCTAACTATCGATATCACTATCGATATCATAATCGATAGTGAGATCATCATCGTCATCACCTCTCACCATCATCATCTCCATCATCATCATCGGGACACCATCATCATCATCGGGACACCATCATCATGATCATTCGCATCATCATCATCAGCATCACCATCATCAGCATAATCGGGGCACCATCATCACCATCATCATCATCATCAACATCAACATCAGCACCATCATCATCATCATCATCATCATCATCATCATCATCATCATCATCATCATCATCATCATCATCATCATCATCATCATCATCATCATCATCATCATCATCGGGACACCGACGAAACACCGGCGGGACACCGCGGGCCCCAGCGGGACACCGGCGGGACACCGCGGGGCCCCGGCCGCCCGGAAGGGAATCATTTGGTCCGGCCGCGCCTCAGCCACACGGGACACCAGCGGGACAAAGGGGGACACCGCGGGCCCCCGGCCGCCCGGAAGGGAGACATTTGGTCGGGCCGCGCCTCAGCCACAGGAGACTTTCTCTCGCCCGCCCACGCAGCTTCGCCTCGCCCGCACGGCACGCACGAACACGAAACCGAAATCGATTTCCCGGTAGGGGGGGGCTCTCCGTTCCACTTCGATCTAACCCCCTCACCTCCGACTAATAGTGATGATGTTGATTATGGCGATGACATTGATGATGATGGTGGTGGTGGTGATGATGGTGATGCTGTTGCTGATGATGATGATGATGATGACGATGATGATGATGATGATGATGATGGTGATGGTAATGGCGATGGTAGTGGTGGTGGTGATGAGGATGCTGATGAGGAGGAGGTGGCGGTGGAGGATGGGGATGATGATGATGATGAGGAGGATGATGATGATGATAATGATGACGATGACGATGACGATGGTGATGGTTATGGTGATGATGGTGATGATGATGACGATGACGATGGCGACGATGACGATGACGATGACGATGATGATTATGATCAACATGATGGTGATGATGACGCTGATGCTGATGCAGGTGCTGATGCTGATGATGATGACCATGATGATGATGATGATGATGATGATGATGATGATGCTGACGCTGATGCTGATGCTGATGCTGATGCTGATGCTGATGCTGATTATGATGTTGATGATGCTGACGATGATGATACTGATGATGATGATGCTGATGATGATGATGATGATTATGATGATGATGATGATGATGATGATGATGATGATGATGATGATGATGATGCGAACAGGCCATGCATGAGGATAATTTATACTACGCATGGTGTGGATGATGACAACAAGGAGTGGAGGCTGGGGTCGGCCTTCAAGAAAACCGCCCCCTTCTGCCCCCCTCCCTGATGGCAG